ACCCTTCCCAGCGCCTTTGGCCTACTCCTGCATCGCAGGCCTGCCTCTTCTCTTCTTATGGGCTTCCAAAAGCGACGTTACGCATTTTGCACCGCCTTCAAACCCTCCCCCGCGACTTCAAACCCTTCCCAGCGCCTTTGGCCTACTCCTGCATCGCAGCCTTGCCTGCGTCAGCCGGGAGCCCCCCAGCGCCTTTGGCCTACTCCTGCATCGCAAACCTGCCTCTTATGGATGTCTTTTTGTGCATTTTCCTCTTCGCTGTTGGTGTTGTACTTCTCTTGTGACTGATCTTCTGTTTCTTCTTCTTCTTCTTGTTCTTCTTCTTCTTCTTCTTGATCTTCTTCTTCTTCTTCTTTTTCTTCTTCTTCTTCTGCTTCTTCTTCTTCTTCTTCTGCTTGCCATTCTCCAGCCACGCAGATAGACCTGCAGCCGTCCACAGGAAGTGCTACGGTCAGCACCAGGGCTGCCGCAGCACAAGCCTTGCTGGCTCAGCACCTGGGCTGTCCAACAAGGCCCCCGCAAACAGCCGCCAGTCTATTAGCACAGCCAGAACAGAGGCATTGCTACTTCGTTTTCTTCTGTTTCTTCTTCTTCTTCTTCTTCTTCTGCTTCTTCTTCTTCTTCTTCTGCTTGCCATTCTCCAGCCACGCAGATAGACCTGCGGCCGTCCACAGGAAGTGCTACGGTCAGCACCTCCTCTTGAAAAGGGGTCGGCGGCACCCGGGCGAAGCCCTTACAATATGTATATAATCAATGCGAATCCTCAATTCCAAGAACAGAATGATTATTTCTTCAATGATCTTTTCCGGCGGATCATGGTGAATCGGTTCAATGAATCTGAAAGCACAAAACACAGTGGGGGAGTGTTGCTGGGCACCGGATGTTCATTGCTCTTGTCCTAGTCTGAAGACGAAACAAACAGCAACACGCAAAAACATGTGCATGGTATCTAATATGGTTCCCATCTGTTGGGTCTATCCTAATCATCTGTTGGGTCTGTGCATGATGATGGTTAGTAGAGGCCTTGTTCAAAAATCGTGATGTTCTTGTTTACTGACTGTTACTGTTACATGTAAGTTCGGACAAACCCTATCCATCTTCATATAGAACTGGTGGGGTTTCCAGTTCTGTACAACGGTTCCCTGGTGTTCGACCTTGGGCCCCGACATGCCAGCGCCCCCTTCGATCCAATCCAACGTCTTCTTCTGGTGAAGGACGTGCTCCATCTGCTCTTTGCGGAGTTTCTCCAAGGCCTCATGATGAACAACCCACATTGATGTGGCATGGGATGAGGAGAAACAACCAAACGAGCAACATCAGTAAAAACCAACCAACAAACCAAGCTAAGCCCAGCCCAGCCCAACCCAAAGCAAAGCAAGCAACAAACAACACAAATACAACAACCAACAGCAAACAGCAACAAGAGAAACAGCAAGAAGACAAACAACAACAACAACAACAACAACAACAACAACAGCAGCAGCAGCAACAGCAACAGCAACAGCAACAGCAACAGCACCAGCAACAGCAACAGCAGCAGCAGCAGCAGCAGCAGCAACAGCAACAGCAGCAACAGCAGCAACAGCAGCAACAGCAGCAACAGCAGCAACAGCAGCAACAGCAGCAACAGCAGCAACAGCAACAGCAGCAGCAGCAGCAGCAGCCGCAGCCACCACCACCACCACCACCAACAACAACAGCAACAACAACAACAAACATGTGGCAGTCAACAATACTATCATTACCCCAAAGAAACCCAGCAGACCATACTAGACCCATTTCAGGTTGGTGGGTTACATTATGCAAATTGTTCGGTTGCATGGTTGGTAACTACCAGGATCTTGCATGAGATGCTCAAATTCACTTGGGTGCATTTCAGCGCTGTTGTAGATTGGTACTTGTGGCGCTGATCTAGAATAAACGTTCTCAGTCAATTTGTGCGGAGTAAGAATCCGATGGCAACGTGTAACATTTATCAAGGATCATCCTGAACAACTAGAATCATTACCCAGGCTGGTCCAGTGGACCAGTGGTGGTGCAAGGGCATCGATCCCTTTCATCGCAATCCATGACACTCGATGGAGCTCTTGGCCAAAGAGCACTTGCAAATCACGAATTCGAGCAATGAAGCAGCAGTTCCTCAAGTTTGTTCAGCCTGCTCTGAACCACAGTTTCTCGCACAACAGCCCTTTATTTCCCTTCAGCTACCCAAATTATCCCAAATTAATTGGGCGAACTCATGAGAGGTGGCTCACACAAAGTGCCTCTCACGCTAACATGACAGTAAGTCGAACACCGACCTTTTTACAGACTTATACAGCTAACCCGAAAAATCATTCTAGGATCGCTTAATTTTGTGCATTGCTTCAGGAGTCATCCACCCTTTCAAACAAGTGCCCTCAAAGTCTCCATGAACAAACCAGTGACCGGAACTCGTTTTTCCACTCGGTCGTTCTTTTCGGTGACCCGAGGCCTTCGATTCCTCCAGGCTCTCGTCCGCGTCTGCCTCGGCGGCCTGAAGCTCGGACATCACAGCAGCCACCTGAGTCGACGGACGTCTGTCGAGTCGACGCCGCAAAAAGCAGAAAACGCCGAGCTTGCGTGGTGGCTAAGAATTCGACCCTCAGAACGTTCGAGTTTCTAGACCCTCAAATAGAAGACGTCACATGTCGACAGCCAACCGTAGAACATGCCTTGGAGAACCGTGCCCACGACTGCCACTATCTATCTATCTGGGGACCACTCGAGTGTTCCGTCCCTCCAGAGCTCGGAGCCAAGGCACCATCTCTCGCCCCTCCGACTCGGACAGGGCCAAGCGATTCCTAGGCGGAGGCGGCGGGGGCGCACGATCTCTTTTTCGGTCTCCAACGGTAAGCCCCAATTGAACTGAAGATTCAACGAGCTATTTAAGCCCCTGCGTTTCATGTGACCTGGTGGCGCAGCATTGGAGAGGATGGTGTGTTTATAACTGTGGCATGAAGTCTCGACATTTCTTTCACTGGAGCACCCTCTGCAGGAGAGCTGTACACCATGTACAGAAGTAGCAGGAGCAAACATGGGTCGGTCATCGAGGCACCCTGCCTCCAGAAAGTCTCTTTACCGCCCCCCCCTCCCAACACCACGTCCCGCGCCGGGCGCCGCAAAGCGCCGCGGTAGAAATACGCGGAAAGCTCCAAGCTTCGCCAGTCGATCGATCTCGTCAGTGACCTCCATGGGCTTTTGCGCCGTGAGGAGCTTACGCTTGCAAGGGTCGATGCTGGGCCGCGAGTGCAGGCCTCGAGACATGGGACTGCATGGAGTGCAGGGAGCCGCCGCGACTAGGACGAGCGGCGGAAGGACGTGGGGACTATGACGTGTAGGACTGAAAAGACTATGAAAAGAACTGTGGGGCATGAACGGCTTGGAGTTGTGGAAGGTTATTAATTTTCTTGCAGCAGTTTCTGGCATCTGGGCCCTGTGCTTTCCAAGATCTCCACGTTGTCCTTGTTCTTCTCGATAATGTCATAGGCCTCCTGAGCCTGGCCCAAACCGTTTGGCCAACAGCAAGGCAGGACGGTCAAGACTTCTTGTTATGAGATATCGAATGTATTCGGATGTCTAGTTCCCCATCCCATAGACTTTGCAAAAGGTGCCCCATGTCACCACCAATGCCGCACACTCATACATGCCGGTGCGTGCGCGAGGAACGCGCGCGCGCGTCACGCCTCTGACACTTTGTTGAGCACCTCAGCGATCATGGCTCCAATCTGCTGGGCAAACATGGTGCAAGACACGGCGAGCAGTCCAGTTGATGAATTGCCAACGAGTGTGAGCCAGGAAAAAGTCCTGCGGTGCGGCAGTGATCAAATTTGGCAGACAATGTTAACATATAATATACAGTTGAGAACAAATAGTAGAATTTAATTTGGAATCATCATAGTAAATATCAGTCATGGCATGTCATAGTCATCGGAAAACAGCAAACAAAACCATGAGTGAACAATCAACAATTCCTCTGCCTTGCTTGCCGAATCACCTGGTCAACCATTTCGTATGGTTGGTCCGTCACGGCAGACCGAAAAGGCCGCCACAGAATGTTAACCAAGCGGTGTAAACGAGCCATAGCTCAGTGTAACATTGCATCCTCTAGTGCATGATGACTGCAGCAACTACCCGTGTTCTGCGGAAGAAAGGGAGGCCGTTTCTAGTTGCTTTGTTGGTCAATTGCTTTGCCAATGAAGGGACAACGCTCCAATGGACCCTCAAGCACGCTATTTTGCAAACTGTCTGGGGAGATTCTGAGCCTCACAATCTGTACGAGAAAGTCCTGCGCACTTTCGGCAGTGAACTCTCAAACAGCTCCAAAATCTGCAGGGAGTCTCAAGGACTCTTCAGGTTCCGTGGGGAATCTTCGCAGATTTCTTCAGGTTTGCCTCACTACAAAACCCAAGTGCAGATCGCGCAGATTTCTGAGCTACCCCCCAGATCGCGCACGTGACTGGTGCAACGCGACTCGCGGATGGAAACTTGCGAGCTGCTGCGACAGCAAAGAACGCTCCAAAACTTGGTGGGCAGGACTGGTTGCAACAAGTCTAGTCCATCAGACTGAAACTCCACCAGCTGCGGCTGGGCTGGCTGATCGCAGCAACTCTGGGAAAATGCCCAAGGCAATCTGCTGCTCCACAAGATTCTGTGCCCTGGATCTGGATGCCATTTTGCCAGCGGCTTCAGCCAGTGCTGAAAACCAACCGAAAGACCGGACCGGTCACACTGGGCTCATGTCCATTTTCAACTCCGCACCTGAACAGGTTTTACAATCCATGTCTGCGGGTCCGCGGGGACTTTGTTAACCGTCTACATAAATTTTTGACCTGGCATCCTCTTTGGGCTGACCAAGAGCACTTGGTCGTTCCCCTACTTCCGCCAAGTACCACAGCTTGTGCTGCTGCATCCAATCTTTCAGCCATTTCCTCAGAAAGCGGAGTGGAACTCGGCAACGGTGACAGCTTCAGTGACGACCATATCTTGAAGAAATGGCTTTCATGCTCAACTTGGGGCCTGAAACGCTGAGTGCGCTAGCCTTCACAGCTATTTACTGTAGTTCTCCAGCTCCAGCTCAAAAAAAAGTCTATTTACCTCTTTGTATATACTCTGTACCTGAGCGCTTGCGCATGCCTGAACATACTTGCCTCCACGATGTTTATATCATCTTCTGACGGGGTGGATCTCAAGTTCCACCACTAATGAAATCCCGCTACCATTTCAACAACCACTGGATTCAATGTCTTTCAACCCAGCATTCCCCACATTAACCACCTGAGGCTATTTCAAATACGTTGTTCCATTATGTCTCAATGCATGTCCGTCTTGAGGGAAAATCCTTGATCGAGGCTCATCGCATCATTGGTGCCGCCCTTGTCAGGATGCAGCCTGCAGGATGGCTGAAGGGCCCGTGTCCATCCATACACTCCACCCGAAATGGCAGGGGCCCGCAAATAGAAACGATGCCCAATGAATGTATACATATGTTTATATGTATATATAATGTGTATATATATAATATTGTTTAAATCATGTTAAATCATATTTCTGCTTATGTATAGAGTGTTTACACCACCTTTGATGCTCACAAAGGCATGGCAACTGTATACTTACACACAGTCAGACTTCGGATGTTCACAGCTGTCACACTTGGGATTGCGGTGATTGACATCCAGATCCCTGGATTGAAGATAGAAGATTTCACAGGGGTCTTGCCAGATCTTCAATCCAAATGCCTCTGGATTGAAGAAACATATATTGGCATTGGGCCACCCCGGCTCCTTAACTTACGTAGTTTTCTCCCAGGTAACAGCTAGACATATCATCTTTCAAAAACGGATTCACTTTTTCTTTAGAGGTCGCTGCACTGACTGGTCTCAAACAACACTTTCACCCAACACTGCGGCTTCATGTTTCTTCTCCGTCGTCCTTTTGCCTCCGAAGAGAGGTCGGGTTGACGCATGTCACGAATCGAAAACACGGTTTCCGTCTTTACCAATCCCTGCAACGAAACAGGAAGAATTGGTTGACGAAACAGCATTCCAGGCATACGGCATACGTGTCACGATCATGTGCCGACATGGCGCCCAATCCGCAAGGCAACAACGCATCAACAAAAACTGAACACCAGAAAGAACGAGAAGCTTCAGCTGTGCTTCCCTCAGCAATATTTTCCTCTCCTGGCTGCTTCAGTCGGGCCCAGTCTGGGAATGGAAACTGCTGAGATAGGTTTCAAACAGCAAACCAATCGCACAAATGGCGTCCACCAACCAGTAAGGCAATCAATTATATAATATAATCAATCAATCAACCAACCAACCATCCAAGCAACTTAATCAGCCAACCAAAACCGACCAACCAGCCCAACCAGCCCAACCAGCCCAACCAGCCCACCAACCAACCAACCAACCAACCGACCGACCGACCGACCAACCGACCGACCGACCAACCAACCAACCAACCAACCAACCAACCAACCAACCAACCAACCAATCCACCAACCCAAAAACAACCCAAACGAATCAAACCAACAAACCAACCCAACAGAATCAACCTAACAAACCAACCAAGCAACCAACCAACCCACCAGCCCAACAATCAACCCTCTCCTCCTCAGTCTTTTTGTTCTTCTTGGCCATGAAGAATTCTTTTTCCCAGTACGCGGTCAAACCTTTCGAGAATGCATCCTCCGGGTGTGTCCTGTGGCAAGTAAACCACCCATCTAAAACATGCAGCTAGGGTGTATCAGAACCCAAAGGAACATGTCTTTTGGGTTTTGAAATTGGTATTTAAACTATGTGTTACTTATATATCGTTTTGTTGTGTGTGTGCAGCATGTTTTTTTGTTTCGCAGGGCTCGACCATATGTGACATCTGGAAAAAACAACTTTTTTGGTTAGATGACGGCAACAATACTGTCAACCTGTAACATCATCCCAAAGGCAATTGCAAGATGCAAACTCACTTCTCAGCAACTCACACTGCAATAATGTTGTCATGTTTTGCTGACTATAAAGTGAGGTGGAAAACAACAACCAAAACAATTTCTACATCATTCTGGGGAGCGAAGCTTGATACACTCCAAGAGCAAACTAAGAGCGAAGGGAATGAATCAACACTTGCTACCCGCCGCCCGCCGACCTCCGCCTGCCTTCCCGCCTCCGGAGAAGGACTGTCAGAACACATTGCAGGCTTGACGACGGGACACATGTCAGAATGCATGCCGGAAAGTACGTCAAAAACATTCGCGCTGGACTGGACAACTACGCATTTGGCGGCAGAGTGGACCTTGTGCACATGACGGAACACATGGCCGAAGAATGCAGAACACGTGTCAGAACACATGTCGGAAGAAATGGGAGGTTTGATAGCGAATAGCAAAACAACTGCCACAGAACACATGACACAACAAATGTCAGAGCAAATACAAATATTGTTGTACAGATTAAGTCATTAAAAAAATATATATATATAATATATTATGTTATATTATTATAGTTACATATACTGTACATACAAACACAAGTCGGACCAAATTGTGTAATAGCACACATGCCCGATTGAACCGAGAGAGCCTGTCACTGTCAGAAACACGTGCCAAAAAATATGTAAGAACACATGCCAGACTTGACGGCAGAACAAATCAGAACACATTGCAGACCAGGATGTCAGAACATTTTCCAGCCTCTGCCAGATTGTGTTAAAACACATACCAGTAAAACAGTGATGCCAGATGCCAGAAAACATTTCACAACATTGTGCCAGTGCTAGTGTCAGGCAGCGTTGTCGGTATTGTCTGTCAATACATGTGCCCTGCCTCTTTCCAAATCACCTTTCAGGGTGGAGAACACTCGAAGTAGAGTAATTTTACTCTGATCCGGTTTTTCCGATTTGGAAACGATTCTGGTAGAAAGACACCTAGGACCTGCAAAGATTAAACTGTGAGGTGTGGGGTTTCTTTTCAACCTCACATAGATTTAAATCCGACAAACACATGATTTTACACTTAAGCAGCAAAGTGCATGGATAGCAATTAAGTCACACATCTAGAGTCTAGAGGTATTCGATATTCTTCATCTAGTCTGGGAGCACCATTAATGTTTTGAATCGTCTATCCTTAGCTCTTCCAATTTGCAGTATTTTTGCAGTATTTTGCAGTGGAAACTTGGATGCTCATCCCAGCTGAACCTAGCTCCCTGCATCCAAGTGTCGGTTGGTCCATTCCCTGGAACCGGCCATCAGGCGATCTGGTCGGCACACGTGGCTTCGGAGTCTGAGTGAAAGCGAACTTCGGCGCTGCGTTCGGCATGGCGTGGGCGCGTTCGGTGACCCTCGTGGGCCCGGAGCTCTGGTTTGGCCAAGTGCTGGGTGGGCTGCTCTTGGTGCCATTGGGAGCATGACGGGGCATGGGCGTTTGGGATGCTGTGTGGCCATTGGCCATAGCTGGATTGGTTTGCAAAGAGTTGGGTACAGGTGTCTGGCCATTGGGCAAAGTAGTCTTGTTTTGCAGAGGGCCGGGTGCAGATATCTGGCCGTTGGGCATAGTAGTCTGGCTGTTTTGCAAAATGGTATGGCCGCTCGTAACAGGGGCAGGCCCATTAATCGTTGGTACATGACCATTGGGTGTGGGTGCACCCTTCGACTTGGGTGCCTCACGCGACGTAGTTGTATAGCCACTCTCTGCGGGTTGTATTTGCACCCACTCGTCGGATGTGACTGATGCACAAAGGCTTGAAATGGGTGTGTCAAGGAAGGCTGCTCCACTGGTCTTGGACGGCGCGGCGCTGCTCGCACAGGCGCTCCCACCGCGACCCGCACACTGCCGCGCCATGGCGTCGCTTGGAGCGGCCTGCTCTTGGAGATGTGCCATTTCCTTCACCTTGGCCGTCACGTGCTCATCCAGGGCTTGGAACTGGGACTCCAACTGCCTGGAAGGGGGCTTGAAGATGCTCGATCTTGATATGTTACGATACATGTTAGGGCCGTTTTCCTTCTTCCATGGGGATCAAATTTGGTGTTCTCCCTCTTCTAATCCCCGACGCTGGACCTATCCAGGGACGTCAATCCCATAGGTCTCTGATCTTTAGAAACACGCTGATCTTTGGCGGGACTGACACGCCGGTATATTGAACGCACATATGCAATCATTTTGCATGACACATTGGGGGTGTCAGGCGTTGACACCAATTAGCCCAAGTGTTGGTCACGAAATGCACCAGTGGTGCCTACACAGTTTCACCCGTTCCAGCCTCAGTTTTGCCTCCGACGGTTGCTGCTCCAGCTGCTTGGACACGTCCTTGTGTTGACTCTCGAGCCTCCTCAAGCCAAGGTTCAAGTCGCTGAGCTGGCGGTCGCTGTTGTATTTGAAGTCTTGCAACGACTCCTGCGACATGAACTGAACATTCATTTTGTTCTGACTGAACATGACTGAATTCTCAACCATGAGGACTTGGGGGCTTGCACTTTCATCGGGTCCATGAGCCCTGCTCCGTGAGCTGTTAGGAAGCCAAACACCTACTCAGGAGGACCACCATGGACCACCTACTGCACAAGCTGGCAAATCCATGCAAATCCCAGAGTTCCCAAAGCGAGGATTCTCAAGAGTCCTCCAGGTCCTTCAGCTGATTCCGCTCAGAAGCATCAAAGAACTCTTTGGCTTTGCCTTCTTTCCATTGTTTCAGATCCAAAATGTCCTGAACTTGTTTGCATGAATCAACGCAAAAACCAGCCTACTCGAGTTTCCCTTTCTGAAGACTAGTGCTCAAACAAGAGATTGTGAACACTCATATACACACAAAATCCACCCTCGAAATGATCTTGCACCTGAGTGTTGTGTAATTAGATCCAATCAACAAATCCTCGCAAATTGGGTGGAAACGTATGGAAACTCGAATAACACTTGATTAACTAATATTTACAAATGCCTCACATGCATGCTTTTCAGCTTGGAACATGGACGGACAGGTCTGTTTGGATCTTGCTTTGACTCAGGAACCCAGATCCGCGTTTGGCCTAGCCCTAGCCGCCCTAGCCTTTAGCCACAGACCACCAGCAGGAAAAAACAATTGGAAGAACCGGCTCCTTCTGCATCTTCTTGAACTCCGCCTTCACCCACTCTGTTCGTGCGAAGTTGTGGAAGGGGATGTAACTCCCTTGCTTCTGTGAATCGCCTGGCAATGTTCTGAACTTGAGTCTATTTTCTCTGAAAACACCTGTACCATAAAAAGGCAACAAGTCGTCAGAATGAACCTACTTCAAACAACATTGCATATGTACAGGCAAAGTACCTGACAAACAAGCCACGGCTTTCTCCTCAGGTTTCTTGCTGACATGCTGACAGGATCGTTGGTAGAAAGCATGCGCACATACTATCGGTTAAGTTTTACCTGGGTGCTACTTTCTACCTCTTTGCGTACAGTCGAGTACTATATCTGCCGATGCCCCGATGCCGCCACTGGGGCAGCGGGCAAGAGAATACAATACTGAATACAATACATACACACGACTATACACACGGCGTCTCTAAGAACAACAACACCCGGCTCGTCGAAACATTGAATCACCACGATACCAAACACATTGTGCTTTCTTCTTGTCTCCCAAATGGAGGTCTTCCACGTGTCTTCCAGGCTTTGGTGTCAACATGGTGTCCAATGCAGTCTGTTTCTTCACTCCTTGCTGCCCCGTTTGGTGTCTTGGCCTGATTAGACGAACGAACTCGTCCAGCCAACCCATCCCTGAGGGAAAGCCCAAACATGAACAAGGATGTCGTATGCGAATGTATGCGAACGTCCATCTACGATCGTTTTGGGGTGCCAGCTTGCTCCCACCCCACACACTCAAATGATATGTTCTTGATTTTTTTTGCTTGTTCCAAGTGCATGACAGAAATCGCAACCCTACCTGAGTTGTGCTGCAGTTTTCTTTTTAAGAGTACGAGGTGCTGTGTAGCTGTAGCTTTCAAAGAACCTTGTCGACTCCCAGGGCGGCGAGCCTGCGCTGTCTTCTCCAAACTCTCCATCATCCAGCTCGCGGTCATTGGACTCCAAGCTTCGATTGAGGCGGGGTTCCCACACTGGCTCGCCATTGTTCTGTACCAGGACGTACTTGTAGTGAATAATTTGAAGGGGCGAGGAGTCCAAGGAGACCTCACGGAGGGTCGGCCAGGATGGGGTGGATTTGCTCAGTTGGATGGGGTCGGCCCGCATTAGTTCGTATGAAGCACGGGAAGGAACTGTCCACTCAACAAGGGCCCGCTCGCCAGGGGCATGCCTTCACATGTGGGATACTGTAATTCCAAAGGCAACATTCACCGTGCCTCACACCACCATCGTGGGTAGAAGCCGTCCTCCGTTTTCATCTGGATGGCATAGTCCAGGTTCCAGTTGCCAAGCTCATCAGTATCTCACATGAAATGGAACATGGTCAACATGAAATCCAATGGTGACTAGTTCACCCCAACACAATTGATGGAAGGTTTGGAGAGCACAGCTGTTGAACAGCGGGACCTTCGCTCCGGAGCGAGTAGGAATTTGGAAGACCATCTCAGCTGCTCTACTACGATGTCTTGCTTCAACAGTGCTCCAACTTCACCAATTTGCAGCAATCAAAACCCCCAACACACCCGGAGCGTTCTGCAAGATTCAGCTGCCTCCTGTGAGATAGACTTGGTCGCCCGGATTGGTGATGACCGTCACAATGAACTTCCGCTTCTTCGGTGGAACCGATGGCATCATCGGATCACGTGGTTCCCCGATGGGCCCAATGCCTGCTACTTTGGGGAACCAAATGCGGCGGGATCCAATCACGAACATCAAAGCCACGTAAACTGGGGCCCACTTCAGATACACTCCAAGGCATAAATCTTTCTCTCACGACATGCAAGTCAGGATCTCACAGGAGGATCTCAGGCTAAAAGCCAACATGATAACATGAACCGCTGCACCCATAAATTCTAAAGGCCTCGCTCAACATTGGACCTGGGTGTTATGTGATCATCCTCTACCTATCCAGTGGAAGCCAATGACTCACCTCTTCACAACTGGATGAACTTCATTAGTTGGAGTTATTCAGGACTCATGTCTGTACTTGGATGATCTTTGAGGCCGGAGGTCCCTTCTATCGAGGCTGGAGATCGTAACCCTTCTGTCCAAATTGTTACTCGGTCAAAACAGCTTTTTTTGTGCTTTCTGTGTCGCGTCTCAGTCATCATCATCGATCAGCTCCACCTTGGTGTGTGCTTGGTTCATATTCAAGGTCTACACTAAGCCGCAGGGCAACCAATGTGTGCGTGTGCTATACACACGGCTTATGCAACTATTCATCTGCATGGAAAGACAGTTGCCATCCCGAAGCAGGGCGCACTTGAAGGATTCTCCTGACCAGGGTGGCATGGTCTGGAGTAGTTAACAGTGAACATTTCTCATGAATAGCTATCTGGTTGTCCGTCCTGACTTCTCACTTACATGTAGGCCATTCATTGCCCGATGTCCACACAGGAAGAAAACTTATGAAAAGAACACTACTTCACCAACATGCGAGATTTCATTTGTATATATATATAATTATCAAGTCTTTCACGTGACTCGTGACACATCCACATACTCTCCGACATCCTGGAACTATGTGGACATGGACATCTCCCAGCGTTTTCCTAGAGATTCCAAGTAGACCTTCTCAAAAAAGGTAGTAAGTTTGGTCAACCCTCCAACTCCACAGAGCTTTATGCAAGAACAACAAACCATACTGTATGTTCTTCGTCCACCTCAACCGGTGTGAACCACCCGGTTCTTTCCACCGGGCTGCCCGGATCGGCTGGTCGGCCAACTCTCCTGGTCAACGGGTCACGGACCGCGTCGCGACCGCAGAGGTCGGTGGTGCGGGGGGCGACCGAACATGGACAACACAGGTTGAGCCCCTGAAAGGGGAAAGGTTGGTACAACCTGGCTGTACAGCCTGGTCATGGTGAAAGGTTCGTGGTCATTTCTTCACGGAACATGGACAACACATCTGCAGCCTCTGAAGGTACCAAATGTACCCTGAAAGGACCCCGCAGCTTACATCGGTGCTGAACATCCGGAAACGGGGTCTCTTGGTGGGACTGAGCCTGGATCATGACATCTCATGACCACACTGGTTGGAGTGAAGTTGGGCCCATGAATCCAATTCATTCACCGGTTCACCACAGGTGCTTTTGACCACCACCTGTCGAAAAAGCATATGCTGACAAACCGCAGGGCTCTTGTGAGCATCAGGCGGTTCGATAGAAACAATATGTAGATATGTATATATAT